CTCTCAGGACGTCACAACCTCAGATAGCTACGCTGTCAGTAACACTCAGCATCACATCACATCAACAGCTCCTTGATAAAGCAGGGTGGGTGCTGGGAAGGGCACGTGACGGTCACATCTACCGCTGCTGCAGAGGGAAAAAGCAACGTCCATTTCCTCGTGGAAGTGCAGACCACTCCCATGGGTGCAAGGCGCTCCCCTCACCTCCAGCAATGGGTCTTCCCAAAAGCAGCATCCTCAGATGTGGAACAGTCATTAGTGCCTATTGCCCCTGGGTGCTGAAAACCATTAATGCTGCCCTGTTGCAAAGCTCTGTTGTTGCTAGGCCAGACACAGGGACTGCCCTCCCTGGCGCCACTCAAGCCACGTCTAGTCTAGAATCCCCTCCCAGAATCAGCCACGAGGGCACAGTTTGCTCCACCACCAACTGGAGTTCTTTCTTTCAGTGAATGTTGGAATTAACTTTGTTCAGGCCCAGGTGCTCCCGTTTCTGAGTGCTGTTACCGGCTCTGGCGCCTGGCCCTGGTAACGTGACTTCTCTGTGCACCACCACGCTGAACTGGGGAGGCACAGAGATGGTCGGTAACACCGATGGTTCCCAGTGCTGGTGGTATTAACAGGGACAGCAGCATGGCCAGAGCTGGCCTAAGTTCATGCACATGACAACCAAAATTATCCCATGTTTCTGCTCAGGATGCAGTAAAACCCAGCTTTCCTTCTTCAGAGGCAGGAACRTCCTCCAGCTCCAGTTCTCCATACTCAGCATGCCAAGAAACCAGGCTAGGAAGGACAAGGCCACTGTCGTTACATGGAAAAAGGCTCTTTGCTTTGCTGTTCAAGATGGTGCATCCGCATTTCAAACCACACGGGGCACRACAGACATTTCTGCTAGTTCAAGGAGAAAGTTAGGAGCACTCTGGATTGGGACCTGACCCGGGGACCAGATAAGCCAGTTCTGCCCATCTGCCCCTTCCAAGGGGAAGGGCCCATGGAGAGCTGCTCACTGCACGGGCTGCCAAGCAGCAAGAAGCAGAAGCCCCAGGCAGAGCGGGAGCCCTGCTAGCAGCACCTCTGGGGCACCCCTGAGGCCCAGCTGGCAGCACCTCGCAGCCAGGACCCGCAGCAGGCATGAGCCCCGCACCTGCAGCGGGCCGCCCGCCACGGCCCGTTCGCTCACTGCATTCCCGAGCTAGGTTTARCCAGTTGGCCTCTGCGCCCTCTAAAGCGACAAAACACTTCCACTTCATAGAGCTTAGCACAGCAAGACACAGCGGGTAGAGGAGACTTTAAAAACAGTGCTTTGTGGAAAGCCTTCAAACAACCGCCCACCTCCCTGCTGCTGCAGGTGAAGTCAAGCGTGGGTGGCCCTGGGCTAGGGCTCGCGGAAGCCCTCTGGCCAGCCCACAAAACCACCACTTTACCAGCACCGAGGAGGACAGGCACGGCAGAGCAGTCCACGAGACACTGCAAGGGTCTCTCTCCCTTCCTTTTCATATAATCTTTTCACTTGCAAGCCCAGCTCAGACCTCCAGGTCTGTGCAAAGCCACTGCTAGTGAAATAAGTGCCCTCATCAAGGCCTTTCATGACCAAGCTTTATTTCTAAAAATATTAGGCTTCAAAGAAAAGAGTATCCCACATGCAGGTGTCCCACAGCAGCCTGCTGGTCCCTGTCCTCAGTTCTTTCCCCCACAGCTTTCTGCCCAGACCCRCTGCCACATTGCAACAAATGAAACACCACATCTAGCACAAGATGGGTGGGAACCTTGTGGCAGAGGATCTTCCGAGCTGAGGGGACGCGGTCACTAACTGCAGYTTTGGGGAGAGACTTCACCTTTCTGCAAGATTCATAAGCTGTTACAGGCACTAGCACAAACTTCAGCTGCAGAACTCTGCAAAAGAGGAGATGCCAGAGGAGGAGGAGGAGGAGATGTGAACAAGAACAAACAAACAAAAAAGCCCCAACCACCTTATTAAGGCTCTTCCTCCTCTGCTTAGCAAGGAGAATGCTTAATTAAGTCATACTTCAAGCCTTACCACTAGCTCTAGCAAAACTTAGCATAAAGCAGATGCTTAACAGYTTCCTACACAACACGGGACATCTCTGTGGTACAATAATTTGCATCTTCTACAGAAGAAGTGAAATTGCTGGGTTCTGTGTTGTTGAGCTTTGCACAGTGGGTAGGGACAGCACTGGTAGGAGGTATATTTTAGATCTTCAGCTCAGAAATAAGGGAAAGTAGGAGGGAAAGCAGCAAGTTGCTGTTCACTCAAAGACTGGAGCTTTCCCAAGTCAGGAGTTTTGACTGTATTATGTGCATWCCTCTCAGCTTATTTGCAAGTCTCCTTTAGCTTATTAGGTCAGTTTAACTGGCAACTGCTGCTGGTTTTAAGCCCAATTATATTTACTCCTACCAGGCGACACAGCCCCAGTTCTGCAGCCAACTCTCACCAAATAAAGGCTTCCAAACTGCTAGGCCCTGCTATTTGTGGCAATCTCAAGCTTGACCTCGGAGTCAGTTTCCTGCGGTAACTTCAGTGCTGTCTGTTTTCACTGGAACGCTTCCCCGCGCGCTCTGCGCTGCTGAGCCCCTTCCCCAGGGCCCTGGGGCAGACACGCATGCTGGAAAGGAGCCGTGAGCTTGGCGTGGGGGGCACTCCAYGAGACTCACCTTGCTGAAATGAAGCCATTGGCATCACAGCCCCGAATCCAGGCATTTCTAAGGAATTTGTCTACACCCTGCATGATTAAATCCTCTCTTGCTTACAGGTGACTACAGTAATAAGATTTTTTCACCAAAAAGCTGTGCTTCAGTAAGCCAGTGGTCCTCAGCCCATGCACAGGCTGCAGTTTAGGGGGACAACGAAAGTATCCAGCTGTGCACACATCAAAAACCTGCCCACATGGGTGTCTATGCACGTGCAAGCAACCCGAACACAGAGGGGCGAGCACACAACCAGTGAGCGTCTCAAGTGTCATTACAGGCAATACAACACTGCCTTTAACTGTTTAGTACAGAGAAAGAAACCATTTGTTCCCTTAACAAAACAAGCGTTGCAGAATTTGCCAAAACAAGTTTCAAACCTACCTGGGCAGGAGCTTTGGGTCAGAGGGATATAACAGAGGGATACAACAAGAGGGTAAGTGTCAAGGCCACAACTCCAAGCTGGGCAGCTCAATGTTTAGCAAGTTCCTGCCAGCTGGAAACAYGAAAGTTTTCCATAAGTTTTGTAATCCTGCTGGCTTGTTCCAGGCAAAGCTTACAGGCCACCTTATCACTGACGACTAGATTCCAGTGGCTTGAGCATGGGGCTTGGATTAGGTCCCTTCCAACCTCAACCACTCTGCAATTCTAGGCAAGAGCACCTTTTCTGAGGATGAATTAACAGCAACAAATAAGCATTATACCATGCTACATAGGTGTCAGTGATTGATATTAATCTGGAAGACTTATTTGYAAAATGTTACTAAAACTGAGTTCAGAGAAAGTGAAAAACCTCTATGACTGACTCAATCAYCTATTTCAAGAGGCAAAACTCCAGGAAAGAGTCTAACACTTGCAGCAGKAGGAGCCAGCAGAAAAACCCTGTCTGACACCCAGCTCAGCCTAACCCTTAAAATTCCTCAGGAARAACTCCCCTCCACCAGAGGTTTCTGGTCTAGCCAGTCTTCCTCATGACCCTGGAGATGATCATGTCCGTTTCCCAGGTGAGGCCCTGCTAAGTGCTGCAGTGACACAAGCCACCAAGGTTTTCAAGGGGCAAATCACCGAAATCCAGTGAGCAGACTCGGAGCCTCCTCGCCAGGTACAGGGCTCCGGGCTTCCTGCGTACCTCCGGCAAGATCACGTGCCAGTCCTAACACTCCCTTTCACAGCTGCTTGCCTGGGGACGGGTACCTCTCAATAAATCTGGCCAGCCTCCCAGTGAACCTGGAGCAGAATAATTTATGTTCTTCAGCAGTTCAGCAACACGCTCTGCTGAGATCGGGGCCCGGGGGACACAGGAGGGGTAAAACCTTCAGCCAGGACGCACATGCAGTCGGGAGCAGGACGCATTGCCTTATGAAGCAGCCACGCAGCGAAACCTCCTCCTCAAATACTAGTTTTTCTCCTCTGTGGTGGCAGTGAAGAGAATCCAGCGTCAAGTTTACAACGTGCTGGCTGCATCCTCTCTGCTCGGGACGGACAGGCTGCTAATGCTCCTTTCCAGCAAAGCACTGCTGCTACAGCGGGAGCGCGCGCAGCCAGCGCCGCCGGCCCCGGGCTGCGGCTGCTTCCCGACAGACGGCGGCTGTCGCTTCCCACAACCCTTCCCCAGGGCTTCCCCTGCGGCGAGAGCTGCGGAGACTTCCACTCCCCCCGAGTTCCCCCTGCCCTTCCCAAGGTTTCAACAAAAAAAGAGAACGATCAAAGAGCCTTTGTGCATTTATAAGCCCTGTCAATTTTGCTGGAAGATTTAAGACTTTAGAGAGACCAAAACAGCTATCTGAAATTTTYCATACAAACAAGCTTTTTAATATTTCAGAAAAAAAAAGGCAGAAATAAAATATTTAGATTTTTCAGAAGTGAAGCATTCCAGCAGCTCAAGACAGGAGTGCTGGCAGGGAGGAAGAAATCCAATTCTTAAGTTTGACAGAAACAATTTTTTGTTTTGTTTTGTTTCTTTTAATTGGCAGCAAAACAGGACTACACAGCTATTCCTGCCCTGGCTCCAGGAGGAAACAGCTGGGATGAGCAGCACAGGCAACAACAAACCCAAACTTACTCAGGTGCTGCCACGCTCAGGTTCCTGTCCCACAGTRGTTTGCTTGGTACAAAAGCTTCTCCAAGCAGAACCCATGGTGTCCTTTTGCCCTACTGTCCTGCCCCTTCAGGTTACCTCTAAAGGAAGCCTCTAAAGCCTCCTGTGCAGAAGAGAAACTGGTTCCCTACCTGAAAACACTGTCCAGGCAACATAACAGAAGCCTGGTAGACCTCTGCCTTTTCCATGGTTTGCTTACCTTTATTTCTGGTCACGCAGGAGAAGAGTTGAGCGTGGCAAACATGCGGCAGCACATTTCTTTCTCCTTATCCGCATAGTCCTTGTAACAGCTGCAAAGCAGAGCACACCGCGGCGTCACGGGCTGGGGTCCGTCCACTCAGCCAGCAGTGTCGCCATTAGCAGCTTCCCTTTTGGCTGTTAAAGAAACTAACTGAATCTGGATTATGCAGCTAGCAAAGGAGCAGCGCTGCCCCAGGCCCTTGTGTCCGCCAGCGGGCAGCACGGAGCCTCAGCACAGCCCCGGAGGCTCTGCTGCTGACCGCTAGCCAATTAGATGACTTAGTTATTGACAGTCAGATGCTTTCTAAGGCAGTTTTGCAAGTACCTGATGCAGAGGAATCCGCTYCCCTATCCTAGAGCCTAGTTTGGTGCCTGCTACGCTCTTGCCATTTCTCAGTTTCTGGCAAGAAGCTATTCCAGTGTCCTACTCCATGGCAAGGAACCGCTACCAGGGACCGCTCAAACCTGACCCGAGGATGGGGATGAGACTGCATGGACATGGGATACATGAACATACAGCAAATGTTCCCTCCTTCGCTCCCATCTCCCTGCCACGCATTTGCATGGCAAACCCCGAGCAGGGCCCTCCATTGTGGTCACTGCTTCTCCAAGCTGCAGCAGGGCCACAAGGTGCTGCGAGGGAGCAGCTTCTGCCACATCCCACGTCCCGACCTCACCGGGAACGGGGCCTCACTGGAGAGGAATCCCTGACCAGGAGGGTGACTCAATTTGGACACTGTCCCAACAATTAACTGTTGCCTATATAGGCAACTCTACTGCCTCTGCTACCGTGTAAGGTCAAAACCAACTTTCTGCTACAGGGCAGCAGGAGCGCGTTGCGGCAGGGGTGTGACATTGGCCATGTCCCCTCAGCCGACGTCCCTCCACCAGCCCTTCTGTGGCCAGAACTTAAGGCACTGCATTCAGAGAATCTCAGCACAGCAAACCTCCCAAATCTTGCAGGGAGACATTGCCRGGTCTGTGTAGGCCTGGGAGTGACCCAGATGCCTCCCTGGCCTCCACGTAGCAGGCACCTGGTGTTGAAATCATCACCTATGGGAGGAGGAAACCCAAGAGCTACTCCTTTASAGGCAGTTTCACACTGGACGTCAGAACTGCATTTTATTCTGGATTTGATAAAATTTGATAAARCTGCCAGTGACTTCAAGACCTACAAGACTATAAAAGCAAAGCCACTATAGCTGGTATAAGACATGTTCCTCAACACCCTGGCCTAGAATCTGCTCRTTTCCTCTTGGAAAAAGCAAATTTTGTTAAAAATCATGTTCAGCTTTTACATAGATACTTTCCTATGTTCTGCTTTCAACAACAAAAGCAAGCCATTAACACTTTTTTTTTTTTCTCTCTCTCTCAGAGTATAAACGTACTCTTAAGAAGTAGAAAGACTAAGAACAAGATTTTGATTCATATTCTATTTTGGAAACATTTGCCAGATCACACTAGGGGTTTTCACAAGCAGTGTGGTTTGGCAACATTACAGAGCTCTAGACTGAGGTGCGGCACAACTAACAACATTCGATAACATCATCTCTAACTACTTTATACTAATTTCACCCTTTGTCATAGTAAAAAAAAAAAAGGAAAAAAAAAACACTCCAATTTTAACCAGCACGGATGCAGAAACTCCGAGAGACTGAAGGGGCACTTGTGTGCTCAGGTTGCTGCTGCGGTCGTTCGCTGTTTGCGCCGCCGTCTCCAGCACTGGGGCTGACAAACCCACACACCGTTTCCCTGCGGCCAGGACGCCTCAGTGCTTCCCGGCAGGACAAGCCTGGCCTTATCAGCAAGATTTTTCTTCTACCAGCTGATGCATTTGGARTGAGTCTAAGATAATGTGCGAGGCTGCTACAATCAATGTTTCTAGCACCAGCGGGTCCCTGACATCATCCACATACCGTGGATTTGGGAGCTATGAGCCCACAGCCACACTAGCAGGAATGAGTGGTGCATTTCAGATTTCCACATGGACAACTAATGTTGTCTTTGAGTTCTTGATACTTCTGAGGTCACAGGAAAAGTCTGAGCACTTAACACTGTTACAGACTATTAGAAGAGATTTTGATCTACAGGACACAGATGTGTGAGAACAGCTCTTGACTGAGTGCTACCTGACAAGGGACTCAGTCCACAGTGAGACTGGCCTTTCCAGCTGATCTAACGAAGATGTTACAGCTCCCTACAAGCCACGTGTCACTGTGAGACATTCGCAGCAAAGGAAAATTCAAAGGCCATTTTGTGATCTCTGAAGYTGGGGGCTTTGTTGCACTCTGCATCTGTCAGCAGTGCCAGARGTACAGCATGCATTTTGGGGAACCAGCTAGGGCTTCTGCTGAAAAGAATGAGGATGGAGATTAGTGTTAGTCACATTTTGGTGGGACTGAGAATGACTAAGCTTGGCAGGATTGCGCTATACTCAGCCTGTGAGCAAAGAGAAAGCTTACCTGCAGGATTGCTCATTTACTGCCTCCAAGACAGCAAGAAATTCACTTTCAAAACATTCCTACACATCAACATTAGTATTTGTAGCATTGTACAGTGTAGCATTTGCAGCACAGAAGGGCTGCTGTAAACCACTGGTGTCCTCAAGGAAATKGAAGCCACACTTATTATTTCAGCATATTATTATCGTGAGCTCTGACCTACAGTATTTTATTGGTTTCAAGGCATTTCAGCAGCCCCTGCCTTTCTGTCATCAGCCTGACCCACCTACTCACAAGAAGTACAAAACAGATATCCCACCAGGGAACYTGTATGGGAAGTGTGGATACTCTCAGCTTCTCACATATCTCCTGCAGCCGATGTGTCTGCAAAATATTTGAACCAACCTTCTCCATGCTAAAAAAAGTCAGAGTTTTCCCCAGTCCCTTACTAGCCCCAATAATTATTTTCTTTAACAAACACCAGAGTGTTTTTGAGGGGAGGGTTTCAGACTGTCGGAACACTCCCTCTTCCACAGCAATGAAAAGGAGYTCTCTCACCTTGCCAACTTTTTCAGCTCATTGGTAATATCATGGTTAAAGGGCTGTATGCGCTGCGCTCTGACCAGGAAATCCCGGGCTTTTTCATATTCTGTCATGCAGAGACAAGCCTGCCATTGAAAGAAGACAGATACATTGAAGGATAAATGTAGACTCGCTCCCATTCTTCAGGATGAAACATGCACAGCCACAATCGCTTCCGAGACAGATCTAGGTAGTCCAGAAATGTCCTAAGCAAAGAGCTGTGTGACACATATACAGAAGGCCAGGTTTTCCAGCAGGTCAAATGCAGACAAACAACTGCCTGCTCTAGGAACTTAGAGCTCTGGTCAGAATTCAGTAGTTCTCTTCAGGATACTCTAGGTATCCCCCAGTGGCAGCTGAACTGGGACTTTGCTTGATATTGCTGATAAAKTCCTGCACTTGGGGATRAATAACCCCAGGAACCMCAGGCACCAGGACAGGCTGGGGACTGACCTGCTGGAGAGCAGCTCTGTCAACAGGGACCTAGGTGTAATGGCGGAGAGCGCCCAACGTAGGGCTACGAGGATCATCAGGGGCCTGGATCATCYGCCCTGTGAGCAAAGGCMGAGAGAGCTGGGCCTGTTCAGCCTGAGGAACAGAAGGCTGAGGAGGGGGATCTGATCAGTGTCTACAGACACCTCAAGGCAGGCACTGAGGAGGATGGGGCAGCCTCTTTTCAGTGGTGGCCACTGATAGGACTTGAGAAAACGGCCACGAACTGAAGCACCAAAAGTTCCACAGCAATTTAAGGAAACACTTCTTGACAGTGAGAGTGACAGAGTCCTGGCACAGGCTGCCCAGAGAGGTTGTGGGGTCTCCTTCTCTGGAGATCTTCAAAACCCACCTGGATGCAACCCAGTGTCACATGCTCTRGGTGACCCTGCATGTGCAGGGGATTGGACTAGATGATCTCTAGAGGTCCCTCTTCCAACCTTAAGGAGCCTATGATTCTATGATCTATCTACTAGAGTAATTATTTTCGCTCACCTGGCCACATCTGAACAGCGCTTTGGCGTTTCTTTGGTCAATCTCCAAAGCTTTTTCTCCGTAGGTCAGAGCTTTGGCAGGACGCTCCAGTTTCAGGTAAGTAAGCGAGAGATTGAGGAGCACCAGCAACTTAGACGCGTCAATCTGACACTTCTCTCCCTCATTGGAAGGGCTGCGACGCAGCACGGTGTAAGCCTGAGCAAACAGGGAAACACTCGTACATGAGGGGGTTGTCATGAAAAGTAAGAAATGTACCTGATCGTCCATCTGTGTCCATGTTGCCATTTACCCAGGCCAGTTAAAAATCACACAAAAATCACAAAACTACTGTATGGCATTATCAGCACGACTAGCCAGCTCAGCCAGAAGTATCTGTCTTCCTAAAGGTAAAATGCAGCTTTACGAATGTATCCAGGATCCAGAAAGAAAGAGGGAAAAAATACACATAGGAACCAGATTTTAAGGGTAAAGATGSAAGAGAAAAATTGGAAAAAGACAATTTAAAATATTATTGTTTAGAAAGAAATAGCACAAATATGCAATGGGGGGACATAAAAGTCCCAYAAGTTTCCAGTTCAAGGAAAAAATAGAAGATTTTTCTCTCTCAAGAGGTTAAAAGTAAAGTTAAAGCACACAGGCGAGTGGACATCTCTTTGCACAGCACAAGGTTCCTAAATTACTTCTTAATTAAGCATTAATCCAGACTGCCGCTGCCACACAAGACCACACTGCATTACACCCTCTCCTAGGAAAAGCTGACCGGAAAGACTCCAGTTCARCAGTAAAAAGAATCAAGCAAACTGCCCGGAACTCATAAGGACACCAAGACATGCTCTCCTGTCACAGCCATTTCTGCCATCCCTTCTCCTCCTTCAGTGCCATTCATTTACCATTGCTGCTCACACAAAACCAGGCATTTGAGAAGTGCTCTTAAGTAACAAACTATTCCTGGAAAATATAAATAAAGCATTTGCTCTCAAACTCATACTTGTTTTGGCGAGTTAACACTCACTTCTCCCAGAGCCCATGGAGAAAGCTTCCTCGTGTCCTACCCTTTTGTATCTGTCTCTGGCATCCGAGAAGCGCTGCTGACGGTAGAGGTAATTGCCGAACTCTCGCTCCGTGTCTGCCACTTTCAACACCTTTTGCAGCGGAAACATTCCCTGCTGCTCCTGTACGAGGAAATACCTGCGTGTCGATTCAAGCTAGCAGAGATCACGGACAGAAAAGCCCTTTTGAGGCTTCTCATTCGCCCACGGCAAGAGTCAGAGCGTTGCCAAGGCCCCTGTCTTGGCCAGTCGGGCCGCTGCCCTCCGGCATTTCCCACCTCCTGGCTGCAACAAGTCACTAGGCACCTTGTGCACACAGGGCCTGGTGAGCAGCGCTACAAAGCCAGCCCCAAAGCCACTTCTGGGGCTGGCCTGGCACTGTGTAACCTGGAAAACTGGGGCACAGGTTTTCTCCTAGCTTTGAATCAGCTCTAAGTTAGCAAGAAAGGGCAGCCAGCCACGAGGAAGGGGTGGGAGATTGACTGGAGCAACGACAGAGCGGTTTGATCTCGGGGCACTGGTGGAAAGAGGGGCCTCTGCAACAGCAGCAGGGGAACAGAAAGGGCCTCCTTCCCTCAGTGCTGCTGCCTGTGCCCCAACCACTGACCCACAACCACAGCCCAAAGCTTTCTGTGCGAAAAGGGGGAACTAACAATCACACTGCAACTCACCAGGGAGGAAAGCGAACCGTGAAGGAGCACTTGGGACAGCAGCCAAGCAGCAAAACAAAAACTGGCCGAGGGGGGCAGAGGGGAGAAGGGAAAAGAGAGGAGGGGCAAACTGAGGCAGCAAACAGGATTTTTTTCTTCTCAACAGCCAGTTAGGGCTGCTGCTGCTGCTTCACGGAACTCCCTGGAAGCTGGTGCCCTCTAGTGAAGCCAGGAGGCTTCTGGCAAGGCAGAAATAAAGCTTTAGACTGCAGCTTTGCATCTCAAACCTTAACAAGGCCACTCACAGCAGTCAAAGCAAAGAACCCGTCTGATTCCGCCGAGTTGAGGAAGTCGAGCAGCTCCACCTCGAACAAGACCGTGGCGTTCGGGGGGACGAGGGGAGGGCAGCCCAGCTTCCCATAGGCGTAATCGGGCGCGAAGACAAACCTCGCCAGTTCTCCCTTCCTCATGGTGAGCAGGCCRATTTCCAGCCCCCAGAGCGTAACGTCTGTCACACAAGAAACAGAAGGTCATGAGCATGGCAAAGCAGGGCCCTCCCTCCCCGACTCTCTTAAAGCCTTGAGGAAAAATCTCAGTAATTCACAGCTTATCAACTGCAAAAGTCAATTCAGCAGCACGACGACAGCCTGTGCTCATGTACAGCTGCTCCTGGATTATCAAGGAGATCAGCCACGGGAACAAGCAAGCAGCAAGCACCAGCACCTCCCMGGTGATGTTAAAACATTGAGACAGTGCTTTTTTCAGGACATGTATTAAGCACCAGCAAGACCACTCACAACACCTGCTACCCACTCCCTAAGTCAAGGGACCCTGGATTAACCAGCCCCTGCAAGGAACTTTAAAGGTTTCCAATAGTCTAAAGGAACTAAACAGAGTCAAAATTAACATGTCCTAAAGGGCAGGTGTCTAAAACTCTCAGGYCCAGAACAAGCCTTTCAGCCCCCATTCACCTTTTCCGAGTTTCATCAGGCGAGGGCCCTTCCTGCTGCAGTTGGTGCAGAAGGGCTCATCCGCATACTCCAGGTATCCCGAGTACTTCACTGCACATCCCAAAATGAGCAGCAAGGGGGGGGGAGGACAGAACAAGCCGGACTTAGTGACTGGAAGCAACGGAAACTGCTCTGCCACACCAGCCACACCGCTTTGCTTTGCCCCGGAGCTGCAGAACAGCAGCGGGAACACGGCCCAGCTCGTGGTCACACCACGAGCCGATCGCAGCCAAGGAGCCGAGCGGCGCTGCCTGGGGTTCCACCCTGCCACCCGATGAGCCAATGTACTTGATGCCAACGTACTGGAGAGATGTCGTTTTGCTAAGAGGGAGAATTTTGTGAAGAACAGAAWTTTTTGCTACCAAAATGAAAATACCCCAGTTATCTAGAGAAGAACTTGACGAGGCCTTTCCGCCTCAGCCCGAGGTCTGGGCTGGAGAAGCGCGCCCCGCTGGGCGTTGCTGCGCTCCTGGCAGCCCCTTGGGCAGCTCCAGCTCTCGCTCAGTCAGGACACCAGGACCCCACGACTAGCGGGAACTGCTTCCAGCTTCAGGTTGCTTCCGTCTGCTGCGGACACAGGGGAACCGGGAAGAGCTGCTTTTCCCAAGGTCGGGGTGTCCCAACACTTAATCTGTCAGGCAGGAGAAGCCACCCAGGCTACGCTGGGGGCRCAGCGCCCGCACGGGCGTCTCGGAGGCCGCGAGCACCTCAAGCTGCTGCTCGCACACCGGCGCCGAGGGAGCGCTCGAGCCCGCGAGCCYGCTGCCATCTCCGGGCTGCCCCCGGCCTTCGGGCCCCGCTGCAGCGAGGGCCACGCCCGGGGCTGCGCTGCCGGGGAGGCTCCCGGGAGCACGGGCACGGCCCTACCTGCCACGGAGGCGTCGGGGGGCACGGGCTCGCCCGC